GTCCATCAGTCGCGAGATCGCCTTCTCTATCTCTTCTGCGCCTACGTGGGCGTCGGGCACCGTCACGCCCACCGCCACTCCGGTTCGCTGAACGTCTACGATCAGCCTCTCATTAATGTACTGGTCGCTGCTGAAGTGAGGCCATGTCGCCATCGGCACGCCCTCCGACACCGCCTCCACCACCGAGTTCCATCCGCAGTGTGTCACGAATCCTCCGATCGCCGGGTGCGACAAGATCGCCGCCTGAGGCGCCCATCCCTTGATGATAAGTCCCTTGTCACCGACCCTCTCCTGGAAGCCGCCGCCCGACAGCCACTTCTCCACCTCAGGGGACGACGCATCGACCTCCTTGATCACCCAAAGGAAGGCCCGGCCGGATGCTTCCAGCCCACGCCCTATCTCCAGTACCTGAGCCGGGCTGTGGCGGACGATGCTGCCGAAGCTGACATAGACGACAGACCTCGGGGCCTTCTCGTCTAGCCAGAGAAGAATTCGTTGTTTGTCGACGGACGCCTTGTTCCCTCTCGCGGCCTTGTCGTCCGGATCCTGGTTCGACAGCGACAGTGGCCCGATCGTCCAAACCTTCTTCCCCTTCGCCTCTCTGCTGTAGCACTCGACGTATGTGGCCTCCAAGGCTTCAAACGTGTTGATCACGAACCCATCCGCGGCGGTCTCCGCCTCCCAGACCTCCTCGCGGAACTTTTCCCACCCCAGCATGGTGATGAACCACGCCATCTGGGCCATGCTGATCTCGAGCCGGTGAGGCAAGCCGGGCACGTCAAAAGGCTCGAACGGGTCACCGATCTGCTCGTAGATCTTGTGCCGTAGGATCATGCGTGCGCACAGCATATTCAAGCAGGAGGGGCCGTGGAAGAGGAGATATGGCATCTGGAGCTCCTCGGCAACTCCCTTCGTCCAAGGATTACATGAGTCAGCGATCATGCACGTCGGGGGTTGCCGCTGGGCTCGAAGGTGCTGCGTAAGGGGGTGACGGAGAAGGCCGGTGGCGTCGTGAAACTGTTTTATCAATTCATAAGAAGGCAGCAGGTCGATTCTCTCGCACCCTTCGGGAAGTCCCACTTCGGCGCAAGGGAAGGTAAGCTCGACGAACTCGACCGCGATGCCGGCTCGCCTGACGCGGCGGACGACGGCCTCGGTCCTGGCAACGTTGACGGGGGTGGTGATGAAGCTGACGCGGGCGCCTCGCTCGGCGAGGAGAACTGCCATGTCAGCCATGGGGATCATGTGCCCCTGCGCCAGGAAGGGAACCAACACGAAGTGAGGCCTCGTCTTGCTTTCGCCATTACTGGCGGTCGGCGCGTGGTGGTGTTGCATGACGAGAACTAGAGAGCCCTGATGCGACTCAGAGCTGACATACACACCCGCATATGTAGACTGAGATGCGTTGACCACCGAGTGAGTGGCGGTCCTTGGCAAACAGTGAACAGTAAACGACGGCCAAGCAAATCAACTGAGGAGAGGGTTGAGAAGAAGTTATGCGGAGCGAGAGGATCCCGGAGGCCACCGTGTTTGACGTTGCAATCTTACAGCCAGATCGTGGGTTGACGGACCTGCCTTCTTTGTTGCCATGATCGCCACGGCGATGTCGATCTCAAGGACACTCACCGCATCAAGGGTTTGTCCCAGTCTCAATACCGCAACAACGTCAATTGTTTAGACGAGAACAGACTAACAGTTTTCTTGGATCTCTGGCTTTCTCCTTTCTATAACTCGTGAAGCTGTAGCTTCTTTCACGAGGGAACCATTGACTGAGCACAAACAAGACAGATTGCTAGAAGATCTCTAATGTCTTATTCTATTCGCAAGTCGTCTCCATCGATATCTAAGTAAATTTCTAAATGGAAACGGCATACTATGGGTGAAGTCACAGTATATGAGACGTACAACAATTTCATTAATATATGTGAAAATAAAATTTAAAGAAATGGTGCACCAGCAAAGAACGGAATAGATGACAACATTTTCATTAATATTGGTCTTCTCCCATTGAGCTTTCTCAGGGGCTAAATAATTTTAAAAATAATATTTATGATAATAATTATATTAATTATCCTATGTAAAAAAATAAAAATATGTATATTAGTAATATGAGATATCTACTTAGTGTGTCTTTCTTCTTTATCTCATCCATATCAATAATTGTAAAAATAACAATTATTGTAATAATTATATTAACTATTCTATTCTATCTAAAAAACCAAAAAAATTATTATGTGAGATTTAGATAATAAAATTAGCAGAAGATTACGATAACATAATAAAACATTGGAAAAAGTTTTTCTTTTCATTTTGTTCTAATCTTTGACCAATTAAATGAAAATTAAAAATGATAATAATTTTCACCATAAATATTTTTGTAATCTATATAATAACAATAGGAGAGGATCACCATAGATTGAATGGGTCAACATAGATAAATTGTATTATACAGTAGCCAATGGATCAATTGCCTTTGGCTCCTGAAACAATGTCTTGAGGCCATTTGAGATGGGTCATATAATAATCTCTCCTTCATGTGGATAGCTTAATACAAATGGACACCAAAATCTTTTTTTATATTTGAAGATAATGCTCATTGTGTATCGATTGTGATTCTTGTAGCCACAGTTTGTTTTATTGTGATATGTGGGCAACTATGTGGGCGTCATCATGTACATCTTTTTCTATGCTTGATTGATTAATCTTCCTTAATCTAAGGACAAATAAATTCAAGCTTGCATATGTGCTTCCATCACACAAAAATTACCAATCTTCTGACTCAAATAGGGAAATCTTCAAAATTGATGCAACAATGACGTCGACATCAAATTTATTGATACCATCGAAAACGATATTAAATTGATTAATATGCTTGATATGATGGGCATCGATGATAACTGAAGTATATTACTTAAAAAGATCTAATGTGATTGTTTGGACGTTGAAGGCTGCTTGAACATTCATTCTATGATCAACGTACATAAAGAATAATAAGATAGATTTTTTTTATGTGATCACTTGGATGCTCAACTCAATTGATATGCTCTTATGGATCTAAGATTTTTTTTAGGGATATGTCATCTCCCGCGTGATTTCGATTTTTATATTTTGTTATTCACACAAATTTTTATTAAATGATGATATATATATATTTTAAAAAATTATATATTTTTTGTTTTCTGTTCTTCCGCTATGCATATGATGCTTTGATTAAGTTTCCCAATAATATGATCCTTTGGTCAATGCTAGGGGGTCAATCTCCGAGCACTTAGACACACTAAAACTCACTATAACATCATCATACTAACTTAAGTTTTGGAGGAGTTGAATCAGAATTTTCTCTCCCGACTTTGGCCTGCGTGTAGGAATTTAACAAGAAAGGAAAAACTAACTCCCAACTCAATCTCGGATCGACTTGACAAACAATGTCCCGACCCAACTTGACGTCGACTCTCTCCGGTCGGGAAGCCATGCGGATGACCTTACGCATTCCGATCGAATCGAGCCATGCTAACAACTCGATCATGACGTTAAGTTTCACAATATAATCTAATTAAAACCTTAATATATATATATATATATATTAATTAATTAATTAATTTAAGATCATAAAATCTAACAACCGAGTAGTTGTCCAATTACTATAGCCAGCTGATTGCGGCCATTTCCACGAGAAATATGACTATTGATAATTTATCAAAGCCAAGAAGAATATCAATGTCGTCGTATTTTCAATAAAAAGAAATTAATTACTTACTGAACCTATTACAAATATTCCCAGTGTCAGAGAATGCTCACACACCTTCATGAATAATTATATTTAGTTGATCTTGTAAAATTGGTCAATGAACCAATCGATTGTGTTCTCTAAACACATAGCTAATGGATTAGACATAAAAAACTTTAATAAAAAAAATTAAATTATTGTCTCAAGGGGTTAATTGTCCTCTGCAAGAATCCTTAGCCACTCCTACCTATACCATCTAACATACTGCCCATTTCTGAAAATACTCTTATCTAAATCCCAAATGTAGCCTCGATAATAAGCCATAAGTTAATGACAACAGATCAATAAAATAAAAAATTATGAGATAAAGGCGATGCTTTGGTTTATCATATTTTCTTATTATGAGCAGATGCATCGTATGTAATGATGCTTTGATTGCATCGTACACAGATGCATTCTTATCCTACGCGAACACAGTATGCATGGAGAAACACTTGGATCGTGTTAGACTCATCGTATGCATGGACGTATCCTAAATCCTATCCGACGCCGTCGTCTCGCTTCTATCGTACCCGATGCAGGTGGTCTCCAGAAATAAGCAGGGCAGGAGACAGATTCCTGGCACAGCCAATTGATAAGGTGACATGGGCCTCACAGACCAAGGAGTTAGCATTGGGTCAATGGCTGTTGCCTGCATGTGACTTGTACCACCAAAAGAATGCCGAGTCGAATTGGAGAAGTGTGCGGTTCAGCAGTCTGACCCCAGACAGCGTTCGGTAAGATGCACCAAGGCTGAACCCTGCCTTCCCCATTGCAGCTGAGCCTCGCCAACCGCTACGGGAGGATCGTCCGTATTTTCTTTTCATTTATTATTCTGTTTATTGTTTATTATTTTGGCTGCTTGCGGCACCGTCCGATGCCGAAATGACGTCCAGGATTAAAGTGTCTTTGGAACCACCGACAAATCCGGGAGGACATAAAAGGCAAGCGGACCGCGGACCTGGAGGCGAGAGGAGACAATTAACTCCAACTAACAAATCCTCCTCTCCGGGCTCTCCAACCCCAACCCGAACCCAAACCCTAGAAGGGACGATCCCCATGGCCGCCGTGCAAGATATCGACCGCCCGTCGGCGCCGGATGCGCCCCCGTCCGCGGCGTCCTCCCCGCCCCCTCCTGGCCCGATCCGGCCATCCGTGCACCGCGCCCTCGGCGGCGGCGTAGGTATTGCCTTGCCCTAGGGTTTCGCGTTTACTTCTTCGCGCTGTTGCTTCTGCTTGATCCACGGATGCTCTTGCTTTGTCCAGTTGCTGATGTGCTTCTTTGGAGGCGGAGGAACTTGGCAGTTCTCACGGCGGCCGGCGCTACGACGGTGTGGTTCCTATTCGATCGGGCCGGATACAGCTTCTTGTCTGTTATCGCGAATGCCCTCCTCCTCCTCGTGGTCATCCTCTTCTTTTGGGCTAAATCTGCCTTGCTCCTCAACAGGTTTGCTCTCCCTAGCCGATTGCTATGCTCTCCGTGCGATTCATCTTTTGGGTGGTTGATCTTCCTCTGCTAGGTAATTTCTTTGCTAAGTTGTGCGAATTCTTCGCTGTCAGACCTCTTCCGCCCCTTCCTAATCTCGAGATTCCGGACGAGGTCGTGGGTAAGGCTGCCGACGGGGCTCGGGTGTGGATCAATCGGGCGTTGGCTGTTGGGCACGACATTACGATCCGAAGAGATAGGAAGGTTTTTCTTCAGGTGCTCCTCTTGCACTTCTTTGCATGTTCCAGGATCGGTTTAGATGTCGTTTGTCTGACTTCACTTTTGCTTTGGCGATTCCTCTGCCTCATTTTAAAGGTCATCTTGGTTCTGTGGCTCATCTCCTACATTGGAAGTTTTTTCAACTTCCTTACACTTGTGTACATAGGTGAGTTTCCGTTGGCTTGTTTCTGTCCAAGATAGGATGGTGTAAATGAAATAATCTTTTAACTGCATTCTCTTGCCGCATTAGTATGTCGGGATTTGATATTTTGCAGGAGTTCTTCTGTCCATTACACTTCCTGCTTTGTATGACAAGTATCAAGATCATGTTCATGAAAAGCTTGGTGTGGCACATAATGTGGTACTGAAGCAGTATGGGAATATCTTAAGCAGAGTTCAGGCACAATCAACCAAGGAAAAGAAGACTGAGTAGCAAATTTATCATTGTATGTACTCACAATTACTTTTAACATTTATTCAACGCATTTTGCTGTATTATCATATGTTCCGTTATGCAATTAAATTCACCAAAGTAGTCATCCAAATATCAGCATGTCTGCGTCTCAGTATTAGTACTATGTGAACCTTTAACTTGTAGAATTTCACACTCCATAAGTCATGCATCTTGCATAACATTTTTCATGAACTTGGTGCCATATGTTAAGAAGGAAAAATTCTTTGTGAATCATAAAACCCAATGATAATTGGCTTTTGGCTTAAAGGATCGAGACTTAAAAGAAAAATGTCTCTTGTTCTTAGAATTATGTATTTTTTTAACATTGATCTACCAAGGATATTTCCTTGAATTCAGATCTGTCTTTTTATGGGATTTGTAGATGTGTTACTTGTTAATTTAATTTCTTTCTTGCTGTGTTTTGTTTGGTCTCAAACCTTATTAACTGATTGTTTCTTCTCTCAATATCCATATCTATAAATGTATGCATTCAGGCTACAGATGTCATGAATGTTTGTCTTTTGCAGTTGGAGAGAGTCTGAGTATGGATATAGTGATTGTTTATCCCATAGTTCTTACATCAGAATAAGCATGACTATGGCTACCTCCCTAGATGTAGTGGCACAAACCAAAACAAGGAGAGTTGTATGGCTACATTATGGTTAAAAAAGATGCTTCTTAAAATATAATTTACCTGCCAGCCATGCCTAGTCACTACTTTTAGCAAACAGCCTTTTTTTCCATGTTAGCAGCCACATCAAGAGTGAGGTGGTAGCTTCTAACAGGCTGATGAACAGCCTTCGGCAAGGTTGTTCAACTTCAGATTGGGTTGATCTCAGTTAATTTAGATAGAAACAATTAGAACTGAAATTAATGAAGATGATCTATAACTGAAAATGAAGTACCACTTGTCCATATACATGTTGAACTATGTTGAAATTTTAAAAATTCTTATATAAGTTTAGATTGTTTAACAGTGGTCCATTCATATCAGCATGTCCCAAGCAAATGGAATGGTGGGTTGCTTTTCTGTTTTAACAGCCAGCCAATGGCATAGGTGTGTAAGCCAATGCCTGGTTGTTTCAGTTGTTGACTGGGCTGACTACCAATAGCCAAGCCAATGACACATGACCTCCATCTTGGCTAGGTTAATTTGGTAATGCCAGGAAAGCTGGTTAATACTAAAACAGAGCTTAGGTTATTAGTTTTCCTTGTCTGGATGCAAAACCCCTTTATTTTTTTTGAAACTCTGCATTCATCCATTTCCTTGACTTCTCAGTATGAAGATTCTTCATAATACTAAAAATTTTCAACAGGACTGTAAGGTTCTTCATTTTACAATAGTAGGATATGTTTTACACAAATTTCAACATATATAACATCCATGCTGTGGCAATAGGAGAGGGACCCTTGGCGGTATTGTTAGGTTGCTTCTTCAAAACATTTATGACTAAGGTTCGAGTCACAGAAATTACCTCTATACTCTCAGCAGTTATGTTGCATAGATCAGCCTTCCCTAGGCCTGCTTTGCGTCGACTCTCATGTACTGTCTGAACCCTTTTTGTTATGGCAATAGAATGGGAGTCAATGATTGCCTTCTTGGATACGAGTGTCACATTTGTCAATGCTTGAATCGGTATATTACTCGTATTGTATCTTGCTAAAACTAGAAACCTAATTCTTATTTTTCTTTGGTCTCTCTATCAGTTTCCTTGCTGATCTACAGCTGACACCTGCTCTTTGAAAGAAGGGAGATAAGAGAGGGCATCAAGATAGAGAGAAGTCATATGATAGAGAGGAATTGAAAAAGATTTTGTGGTCAAAGAGAAGGGGGAAAGTATGTGAGTTCATGGTAGGTTAACTAATACTAAAAAGGGTGAACCTAGTGTATGAAGCTTTTGGTCTGAGAAAATGTATGCAGGCTTACCTCTATAGACACAGATTATTTCCATAATTGGAACCCTGGTGAGCTGCATTTTAAAGGAATAACCTAGATGTTGTTCCAAAGGCCCACTCTCTGTTGGTTAACGGTAAATAGGTGTTTTTTTACAACTCAAGTAATGCACTGCTCTCTTGCTACCTGCTGAGTTTCAGTCATATGGTCCAAGCACAAACCAAAACACACTAACTTTAGCCACAGTGGGTTAAATCTGGTGTATTTCGGTTCATATAAGTTGGTCAGTATGCTGATTTGGCCATGGATAGACATGTGTCGGGCTGTTACGGCCATCCATGCTGAATCTCAAAGCTCATAGTACACAAAATTTGAAGCTCTCTTGAGCATGGTGTACCACGTGTGATTGTCAATCATCTAGAAGAATTTAACTTTTAAGTTCTTTTTCCTTGGAATCTTTGGCTTGCTGGATCAACTTCTTTCCTTTCCCTCGTTTCCATTCATTTGGCTGCTTTCATCAGTCAATAAGAAGCTATGTAGGAAGGTAAGGTAGATTGGGATGTGGTTGCGTTTCATCTGATGGGCCATGAGGTTTTGAAATGATGAGTTGGATTCCATGAGCTCAAAATATTTTAATGAGCATTCAACTAAGTTTTCTGAGAGCCTTGCCAAAACCAATTGTGCATCTCACAACTGGTTCTCTTTTACAGAAGTAATTATGTTATTGAATTTTGATATTTTGTGTGGTTGGGATGATATGTTTCTTTGCATTCTGTAGGGTGTTGCCATGCCCCTTTTTTTTTGCTTTATGGTTTACGATATGCATAAAATGCGTTTTGTTGTGTATCGTTGTGTGAAATTTCTTCTAGACATGAGCTGTTGGGCGTGTCTAATAAAATGTAGTCTTGATGGAAAATGATTTAGTTGTTGGTTCAAAGTAATCTTTTGAGCTGCCTTTCCATGATATCATCGATGATTATTACTTACATTTCCATCGACTCTTGTGCAGGCAACCAGATCAAGACACTATAACCTTATGGGAAAACTGTTACTCGTGTTGTTTGGAGTCTTTTTTGGCATGTTGATCGTTTTGACTAGGAACTGGGATGCCTTTTGAGTAAGCAGTGCCAAAATCTCTCTTATTGAGTCATCTTTTACACCGTATGTTTTGAGAACTTTTTTTTTTGGCGTACTATGTTCTACCTTCATATTTGGCCTTCTCTCCTGCATTTGAGATTGAGAAAAGTGCAGATCTTGTGCAAATTATTGTAGTTTGGACTGAACACCGTTTCTGAGTTTGTCATTAGTTTCAGTATTCTAAAGCACGTTGGGCCATGTTTATTGGTGCCAGGTGGCTACATTATGCGCGGTAGATAGATGGATCGGCCTCCTTGGAGAGTCAAGTTTTTTTGTTTTTTGCGTCACATGGGTATATTATTTCAGAAGTTGGTATGACTAGATTATTCGAGAAGATGATATGTGGATAGTGGCTGACATGTCATCTTCATTTGATCGACACATCAGCTAAAATGTGGATAGTGGCTGACATGTCATCTTCATTCGATCTGACGCAGATAAGATTATTTCAGAAGATTTTAACTCAATCGGTCATAAACGGTAGTATAAAAGATCCTAGGCATGTTTCTTTAATGTTCTTTGGTGAATTACACTTTTTACACTCGACATTTAATCGAGCTTCGAATCAATACCAATAAGGATTAGAGAGAGGGATCTTGTCAGGTACATTTTCAATGTTTTACATGATCTTGATTAGAATCAATTCATGACACCTTAGTTTGTCTTAATTCATGACACCTTTGGTACGAGTTAGACGATCAAAATCTATCATTACAAGTTAGCATTAGAAGGAGGGTCATTTCCAAAAGGTCTAAAAAGAATCACATCGAAACCTCATGAATGAACGAACCAAGAACTCTTCGCCTTATGATGATAGAAACTTAACTTTCTATCCACTACAAATGTACTTGTCAAGGCCTTTATAATGGAACCAAACAAGTTCAAGTCTTTCGCAAGCATTGTACAAATTATCATCCAATTCCTACCTCAAATTATGCAATTAACCCATTAGTCTTTACTTTAGCCACACCTTCATTGCCTCCACGAGAGCATATACCCAACATGGTAGTTGAATCTCGATCGGTGCTACAAGAGGCTCCTCGCAAAGTGCAATCGCACATCGTGCTCCCAATTAAAAGCCTGAGCCGCTAAGGGGATTAAAAATATACTTTGTAAAGGATTTTCTTTCGAAGTTAAGATCAATTTAGATGAACCAATATCTTGAAGACTTCGAGGAAAATGAAGCAGGAAACTTTAAACTATATGTGCAATCTCCTTCTATCCAAAGCATTAGGGTGGAACACTTTTATCAACCATTTCAACTCTCTACCCTAGAGACCTATAATAGAAATTCAAATATATTCGAGCGTATCATGACCTTTGTCGTCATACTAGATGTGACAATTAATGCCCTATGTGTTAGTCTTTCCCAACCACCCTTGGGGGGAAGCACGATGGTGGTTCATATGATTGTCCCCCAACTCAATAAGCTCATTCAACCAACTAGTGAAAGAGTTTGAGATTAATTTCATCATCTATATAAACTCCCGAAGAAACCCCACAGCTTATTTTTTAGTTGTGCAACAAGAAGATGGTAAACCCTTAGCTAATTATACAAAAAGGTTTATTAAGGAAATGAAGATAGTCTCATATCCTAGCTTGTCTATCCTCATCAATGCCCTCTACCCCATCCCACCTCTTTGGTCGGTTGTAGAGAAGTTACCAATGACTTATCCAAAACTTAAGGCAAATCAATATGTCATGGTTGAATCCCAAAGTCACAGAAAAGAAGGAGATTGAAGAGAAGAAGCCAAATCAATATACCTTGAGACTCAATATACTTCATGTCATTATATTAACACATTACATGACACTAAAACATCCAACCAATGTTGGATTCAACCATTACTTGACAGTGCTACTTGACCTCTGTCTTCCTTTCAAGGAAGACTACATTGTTGATCCAATAAATGGACACGAGGGAGCCAGCATCTTAGTAAACTTCTCATCTAAAAGATAGTGAACCACTTGTGGAGGTTCCTTTGGACCTAAACTGATGGGATCATACACTCAAAGTTGGTGCTACCCTATTCGAGGAGCGAAGGGAATTAATTTGTCAACTTCTTATAACTTAACTCGAAGGTCTTCGCCTGGTCACCGAGTGACGAGCCCAGTATCAATCAAACTGTGGTGCAACACCAACTCAACGCCAATCCCCACCATCAATCAATTTGCTAAAAGCCATGAAAGTTCATCTCAGATCACTAGTCGACCATAATTGAAGAGAGATAAATCGTTGAATGTCGACTTTATTCATGAGATCCAATATCTTGAATAGCTCACAACTATAGTTCTTATAAAGAAAAAGTAATGAAAAATTGGAGAACATATGTTGATTATATTGTTGTTAATATGAGCTGTCTAAAGGACGACTTTCCTTTGCCTTGAATTAATCAATTGATCGATTCCATTTTCGAACATGAATTGTTAACTTTCATATATATATATTTTTTAGCATAATTGAATTAAAATAACCTTTGAGAATTAAGAACATATCTTATTTATCATAACATAGTTGAACCATCCAAAGAGGAGATTCCTAAGACCAAGGTAACTGAATTGTTCGAAGATACATCTACCATGATAATGCAACCAAACAACCATCTAGCATCTTATAGCAACAATATAATCGAATTAGACATGAAGCAACCTATGAAGCAACCTACAACAATGATGTGACCGAATTAAAACATCCTATAATAATAGTATGACCGAATCAACCATGAATGACAATGGGGTCGGATCAGTCATGAAGCACCTTGTGGTAGCAATGTAGTCAAATCGATCATGAAGCGCCCTAGTAGTAATTATTTGACTGAATCAGCTATAAAGTGCTCTACGACAATAGTACAAATAGATCGACATGAAGCACCCTACAATGATGCAATCAAATTACCCATGTGATTGAATCAACCATGAAGTACCCTACAATACTGATATGACCAGATCAGTCACGAAGCATCTAATAAGAGACCAAACATGCTTGGCAACTTGTTGAACACTACATTATGTCTCGACCCTACTTTGCATGTCGAAATAGGGGTCGATGAAAAAGAAAATATAACACATGGATAACCGCTATCATGTTTTCTTCGTTTGGCCAACACTTGGTCAACACATCAGCTTCACTTAGTCGACACTCTACCACCATTCAACTAGCATATTATCTAAATTCCGAACCTACAAGGTTGATAGTATGACACCGATAAGAGATTCGATATAGCTCCACGAGACCGACCATGTAGCATTGATGAGAAAAGCTGATTCGACAAGTCGTTATTTCATATTCCCAATACCATTTCATGACCCAATTGATGACCAGATAATACACATAATCGTTTCCTACATTAACCATGATCTCAATCCAATAATCACATACCATACTATAAAAAGCCCTTGGGTATATTTTCAAATGATATCTCACACTCCTTGGTAAATTACACCAAATACACATAGCATTTGACCTATTCAACACTAACTTAAGTATCAAATGAAACCATATCAGGTAGGTATCCAACATAATTTTGTACGAACTTGGTCAGAATCACTTGGACTCCTGTTACCTCAACCTGTTTCGAGTTTGAAAGTAGACCTTGATGGATTCCACACTAATGTTACGAGTCGGACAAGTAGAACTACGATATGTTAACATGAGCTTTCATAACAAAAGAATGATCTTGGTGGTGGTACACGGCAATAATACGTACCGACCTAACCATCAAGCAGTGAAATCCTTGCAAACTTTCTGCAACTAATGGTTAACTAAACAACTCACCACCAAGCAAATTTTTAGGATACTCATGGTACACATTGATGTGCTATCTGTGCAAGAGAAACAATCCGCCCTCGTTGGGCATCACCGCTGGTCGACGCTGCTGCAGGAGAGGATGCGTGCGAGTCCTGCACACAAGGATTCCTTCAGGCAATCGTGGAGGACATATACAACATGCACCAACATAATTAAAGAGCACTCATTGAAGCCAACATTATAATGTAACTCCTCTCCTCAGCAACAACACCGGAGGAGAGAAGAGGGGTCTTCTCTGGAATTCTCCATGGTGATGATCATTTAATAAGAATACACCTGACCGGTGATCCCTCAGCGCCTCGTAACCGAAGAGGTAAGCAGTGTAAAGAGTATATCCCAGGCTTGATGTTATCCAACTTTAAGGATTCCACGATAATGATCTCCTGAACAAAATATATCAATGAACACTAGTGAGAATGAGCAAAACCCCGGTTCACTCTATATCCATGAATTAACCTATGTGCTGTTCAATTAAGATGCTGTACGGATTAAATGTATGTCGATAGCAATTCGATATGGCATCAGTGTGAGATACACATGCAAAACGTATGAAAAATGTGTTACTTGTTACTTTTACAGGAAATATTTACCATCACTAATGCTAATGATGATTTGTTTGGAAGTTGCTAAAAACTGTCTCATCCAAGTCATCCGTAGGTGAAGGGACTTCCATGGGCATCTAATAGTACAGAAATTGTTCTTCTGAATTAAAATTAAGGACCACCATTAATTTGCAAAACACAAACAAAGCCTGCACCATTTATGTTCCTGATATGGCAAGGTAAAAGAGACGTCAATGGAGCCATTGATATGATTAAGCTCGTGCACAAGAAAAAGAACTCCACTGCTGTTGTGAAGAAACAAAAGGCATAAAACGCCTTCCCTTCAACAAAGTGCTTAAATATGCATATATTTATGATGGAAGCATTTTGTTAAACTTCTCTTCCTTGAATGCAATTATGGTACATAGAACATGGAGCAGCAACACAGCATGCGGATGATAGATACTCGCATGGGATGTGAGCACAAACCATATATCGTTTATTAAGAATGATAATGACTAGTAAAGTGAAATTATCAGGAAGAATCACATACCCGAGTTTTGAGAAAAACCACATGAGAAGGGATCAGATCATCAAAAGCAGCAATTGACACATAGTCAATACCTAAAAATGTGAAACAAAAAAGAGGTGCTAGTGATCAACAAGCAAAATGATATAGAAATTTTAATTCTTCAAATATAATAACAAACAGGACAACATGCACAAGGAAAAATGGTTTTTATAAAACCAGATATGTTTTTAGGGAGACAAAATTAAACTAATAGAGTCAATGGTGTTTGTGCAGAGTGCTGATGGAAGCTTAGCTAAGTCATGTTACTTGTCAACGA